CCCTGTAGTTTTTACGTAGGTGCATCCATGACTGTCTGAGTTTAGGTTCCTGCTGTGTCCACTCACGACATTCACAGCTATGACACCCACCTCCTTGTCCTACTTGCTGGAACTTGCTGACCTGGCACATGCACAACAATAGATCAGATTGAGAAGCTTCCTATGCTTGCAAGAACAATTTGTGATTGCTTGTCTGAAATCCCTCTGTCTCTGGACTTAGCTTTGTCCACTGGGCTTATGACCGGTTTCCTTTCAAATTATTTTGAGATGATTGTCTCTTGAGTTGCCTAGATTTTTATTTTGATGCCACTGTTGGCATTAATATTTCCATTTATGATATATCACTCTCATATCAAACTTTCACTCAAAGATTATTAAAAATAATTCTTCCTGAGTTTCTTTAATACTTTTGTTATTTAAAAATCACAACAGCTTCTACTTGTGATCCACCAAGAGTTGATTTACATTTGAGGCATGAACTAGAAACTAAATTTACCCTGGAGTAACTGTTCATCACTCTGTGTGTGTGTCTCTGCACGTGCGTGCGTGCGCGCGCGTGTGCATGTGCTCGCATGAGCATGCACATGGATGTGAACTTAACTTACCAAGTTCCATGTATTTAATTTTTTGTTGTTCTTTCCCCTACTTAAATATAATTTGAAGAGGGAAGAAATCACCCTACTTTTCTACTGTTTTTGTTTTTTTTTTTTTGATTCACACTGAAAAGTATCTGTGCAAGCATGGACACATGCTTGTTATACATGTATGTATAAATATGCAGGCATGCCTGTGAGTGTTTATGCAAAGTGCAGTTCTAAAGTTCTTCACTGGCAAGAATGAGCATCACCTGTGAGAGGTGCTGCCATATTGATGAGGACGTAGGCCTGAGTGGAGAAATACAGTGCAATCATAAACCTGAAGGTTAACATTTTGGCAGGGTTGTCTCTGGTAGCGTTCAGATGACTGCAGAGTTTGCCAAATGTTCCATTTTCGTATTAGTGGAGTGCTGAGGTCAGGATTTAGCTTCTCAAAATTGGGTTGTACTGAGTGGAATGCTAAGAAGCAATCTCTGTTATTAAAAACAGCAAAATTGGTACCTGGGTTCCAAAAAGGGATTAAATGGAATTACACGAAACTAAATTATTGCTAAATGAACAAACTGAGACAGTACTGCTCACCAAAACAGCCAGGAAGGAAATTGAGAATAGCTCCATTTAAAATTAGACCTTGGAGTTAAAGTAACTAATTTCAGACATCTAAATATTGCTGTTTTTAATGGTGTGTCATTTCTATTTCAAACAGAAATAGACGCTGTCTCTGGCTGAAATAAGGATTTGTGCACACAAGTGATCACGTGAGCTTCAGAAACAATTCCGAGGCTGCTCTAAGGCGGCATACTTTTCTGAAAAGCATGTTGATTTGAGGACCTCGGGAGAATCTTCTGAGAGCTCACAGGGGTGTCCATGGGGCTCACACACCATGTGTGACTGTGCTCTGGGAACTTTATGGCTCTCCCTGAGAGGACTTTTCTGTCTGTAATGTGCCAGGCTGTTCCCTTCCCCTGACTACTGATGATCCTGTCTCTCCCTGGAGTACAAACCAGCTGCAAAGGGCTAGTGGCTGACTAAGTTATATTTCTTCTAGTGGGAATCCTTTTGGAGAACTGTTTATGAAACTCTTGATTTCCTATACTTTTCCATGTTGGTGGGCAGCAGAAAAAAAACTCTAGGAATGACTGGGGTATTGAAAGAATTTTGTACATGTCATCTCTTTAGCTTGTTGTGGTCATCAGAGATGTAGCTATTTTGTTGAGCTAAATCCATCTCTTAGTAAATATAATGCAGAAGTTCTAGGTGATCTGATGCCCTCTTCTGGCCCCTGTGGGTGCCTACATACATGTCATGCACACACGCATACTCTCATATAAACATATGTTTACATACATTTAAGACTAGCTAAATAAAAAACAACCAGGCATGGTGGTCCATGTGTTCAGTCTCAGTGTGGGGAGGTGGAGATAGGAATGTATCTGGGATTCATTAACCAACCGGTCTACAGAATTAGTACATTCCAGGCCAGGGAGAGACCCTGTCTTGGAGTCTTGAGACACTGTCTTGAGTGACAACACCCAAGGCTAACGGCAGACCTCTGCACGCATCCGCACAAACGTGCAAAATTATACAGGTAAGGGACTAGGGAGACGGTTCCCTGGGTACGAGTGCATACTGTCCATGCGGAGGACACAGTTTGATTCCCAGAACTCATGATGGGCAGCTCACAACCATGCATAACTCTGGCTATTGGGGAGATAATTGACCCCTTCTGGCACTTGAGGGTACCTGCACTCACATCATCACATATACACACATAATTAAAACTCACTTTAAAATACTGAACAGATTAAAACAGATATTGAGACTTAGCATGCTCCTATAAAAGGACATCATAGGTGCTGGCGAAATGATTCAGCAGATAGAGTGTTTGCTGTGCAAAAGGAGAACCCAAGTTCAAATGCTCTGCACCCATTAAACAAAAACTAGGCTTGTTTGCACATGTCTGTAACACCCTTGCTGTTGGGGGAAGTGTGGAGGCAGGAGGATTGCTGGGTGTTACTGGCTGCCTGCCTAGCTCCAGATTCAGCGAGACACTTTGTATCAAAGGAATAAGGTGGAATTTTGTGAACAGGATACCTAGCACCATTCTCTACTCTCTACATGTATGCAGGGGTATGCACATTCATATACATGTAGACACACACATTAACTCATTAATTAAAAAGGACAACACACCCGTGTTCCAAAAGCAAACAAGGAATTTGTTTTGAGCTGATTTTAGATGATGGTACATATTTGATCATTTTTGATAGAAGCCAAGTTATTTGGCTATTATACAATAAACAGGAGCAGCCTTGTCATCCCAAACATCTGCTCTGGCTTCACTTTTCCAGGCCAGGATGACTCATACTGTGCAGGCTTCCTGGCGCCCGAACTGTCAAAAACCCATTTCCCTCCCTTCTCTCCACACCGCGTCAAATGGCAAACATGAAGCTCGCCTCCATGGTCGCTGCCCTAATTTGACAAGGACATCTCCTAAAGAGGTTGCATTGTGATCGTGATTGTCTTTCAGCTGGATGGTAGACATTAATTGTGAGGAGTGTTCCACCTGGGGAGTGGCTGTCTGTCTCTAAGGAGCCATTGTCTTTTCTTCATTCAGCCCATCTCTTGACCCGGTTTGTTTATATTTTCCGATGTTCTTGCAATATTTCCCCCCTCTTTATGTGGGAGTTGAGGAGTTTTTCCAGCTCCTTTAGGCATTGCTGATTTGAAGCCACCTCCAGCCCTTCTCCCAGTCATTTTCACTTATAGTGAGTCACAGTGTTGAGCACTGGGTACTTTCAAGGTCACTGGAGTTGCCATCATAGCCTGCCACGCCTGCTTTTAAACCTCTGCAGCGTCCTTGCCTGGACTGTTCTTTATTCCAAGTTCTGCAGCCCCCATAGGGTAAGACTCTATAAGTGCCCCCATACTGGGCACTCCTATCCCTTGACTCAGGACAATGCCTGGCATGTAGAACTAACTGCTCAATCGATACTGGCCTGCGCATCTGCCCTGCACACTGTCTCATCATTGTATCATGGAGCTCCCTTTATCCTCTTAGACTCTCTGAATTTTTAAAAATACAACAGTTCCTTGACTTTTAGACCCACTGCAAATTAAAATTATTGTGGAGAATACACTGAATGTATAGACTATGATAGAGCATGCAAGCTTGGTGGAGGGCCTTCAGTGTTGCTGGTGTCTGCTGCTGACCATGGTGCTGACTGGGAGCTGAAGCCTGCTGATGCCCAGCTCCCAGAGAGGGTCCTGAGGATGGAACCACGGGAAATTATATTAAAGTGAGCCCAGCACAGGAAGATAAGTGCCATGTAATATCTATCTCATATGTAGAAGCTGTAAACAGTGGCTTGAGTATAGAAAATGATTCCTAGAGGTCAGGGATGGTGTGTGTGTGTGTGTGTGTGTGTGTGTGTAGTATGTGTTATGGAAGATGGGTTAAGGAAGGCTGGACTTGATCAGTACGTGTTATGTGCTATACATTGTCCTACCATGATATGAACAGTGAATGCATATTTACCAAGAATTGAAATATTCTAGAACTTGAAACTTAAAAAGAAAAATTAGACTCGAAAAATCGAAGTATGATTTCTACTGAATATGAATCAATTTCACACTATCATAAATCCAGAAAATCCTAAGCTGAGTGATAAGCCAGGGACGGTCTGTCTGTATCCATTCATTTATTTTTATTTTTTGAGGCACGGTCTCATGCATCCCAGGCTGGTCTCAAACTTACCATTTGGGTGAGGATGACGTTGAACCTCTGGTCCTCTTACCACTACTAGGATTATTGGTGTGCACTACCAAACCTGGCTTTGTGAGGTGCTGGGCTCTAGAAGTGTTGGGTGAGCACTCCACCAATGGGCTATAGCCCCAGCTTGCTGGCTGTGTTTAAAACTGCAGAAGCTGGGAGTCAAACAGTGAGCATCAAGTTTCCTCCAGTGACCTTTGAACCCACTTCAGAAGGATCTCAGCGAGCTGCTGTGGCTGGAAGGCTTGGTCCTAGTGCTTTGACCAAAAAGAGCATTTTGAAAGACATAATGGTTGCCACAATTAAAAAGTAAACATTGGGGAGGGTGCATATCAGGTGATGATTAAAAAAAAAAAAATGAAACCTCGGTTAAATGTAAAAGAAAAAGAAAAAGGAACTGTGGCATTGACCGTGGTGCCACCGCACTAAGAAAGACAGAATATGGCAAGAGTTTTAAGATGACCTGCCAGTGCTTGGCTTAATTCTGCTTGCTGGAGGAGAGGCACTTGGAGGGCCAATTTTCTATGCTAAAATAAGCAGGCAGTTATTTCCTCTGGACCTTTGAGTGCAGACTATCTGAGTTGTATAACTCTGACTGGCATGTAATAAATTGAATCTCTTCCTGCCCTCAGGGAAGCCATCAGCCGTGTCTGCGAAGCTGTGCCAGGTGCCAAAGGAGCCTTCAAAAAGAGAAAGGTACTGTTGCCCTCACTGTGTGTCTGTCTCCTCCTTTGCGTCCTCTTAGGGCCATACTCAATGTCTTCAACCACGTAACTGTACGCTGTCTTCTTACAATGACTTGGACCTTGTCTTTTTTTTGGGGGGGGCACTCAGCTAAGGCTACAACATCCTGCCCTGTCTCTCTCAAGCGAATATTGTAGATAGTTATGTGGCTTACATCCTGGAGACAGTGATACCCATCAACTCCTGGGGGAGCATCCCCTGAAGCCCATTACATAACATGAATTCATCTACTCCTAACAGCTCATGTGGCAGCTGCACAGCAGTACATGCCAGCAAATGCTTAAGAACTGGGCTCTAGGGTTGGGAGGGGGACCTTGCATCTGTAATGATGCCAATTACTATGGTGTAAATACATCCACATGAGTCAAGTTTCAATTCAAGGTCCCTGGAAAGAGTGAGGAAGAACCACACAGCAGCTCCTTACTGTGTTGTAATTTCTTTAGGCACAGCAGATGGGGCCTGAAGTGCCCAGGTTCACATGGTATGGGACCAGGTAGCAAAACAGCCAGGACTCAGGAAGTATTTCCCACCTTTAGATGTCATCTATGTGGTTGTGAGTTTATGTACCTTAACCTTCAGTAATAACTGTGCTTAGTGGCCAGCTCCCAACACTTCTCAAGGTATAACAAATGGCTTTCCTGAGCTGGCTCAGCCATGTCCCTGGAAAGCCCTGTGTTATAGATGGCAAAAATTGAAGCTTCAGGCTGAGAAGTCCCAGTGTGAATAGGAGCCGGGGCCATGGTCAAGCCAGACCACCTGCTCCAGAGGTTGGGTGTTCAACTACACTTCTAGAACTTTCCATCTAATATATGGAGGGGGAAATGTCTGGGGTCTGGGGAGACAGCTCAGCTGACAAACATGAAAACCTGAGTCTGTATCCCCAGCATCCATATCGAAAGCCTGGCATGGCAACACATGGCTATAACCTCAGTGCTGGAGAAAGAGACAGGCTGGTCCCGGGGCTTGCTCAGTAGCCAGGGTTGTGGAATTGGTATGTTCCAGTGTCTTTGTCTCCAAATATAAGGTAGAGAATTTTAGAGGAAGACCACCGATGACCTTAAATCTCTACACGTGTGCACACATCTGTGCACAGGTGCGTGCGCGCATGCGCACACATATTTATGACAATAAAAAGAAGGAAATGTTTAATTAAGTCATCTCTCCCATTAAGTATCTAAGAAATAACTAACTCAGCACCCACAATCACTTTTGTCTACCTAGAAGGGGTTTGTGGGAAAGCACACCATACATCTGCCCCATGCTGGGCTTCCACATTCCAGACGGTTTTGGCTCCAAGTCACTTCTGTCTTCAGAACTGGGGACATTTGTAAACCTAAAGGGCAACTGGGCCTGGGACACAAAACTCTGCAGCTCGGGTTATGTGATGGCCAGTACCCTGGGAGTCTGTGAACCAAGTAAAGCTCCCAAATCTTGAACACAGGAAGCAAGGTGTCCCTTGGGAACAGCAAGGAGGGCCACCATCTCTCCAAACAGGTGGTCCCATTTGGTCTTGTGGTTCCCATGTTTTCCTCTTAGTGCCAATAGACGGAGGTAATAGCAACTTTCCAGGCTGTGCCCACATGCATTTGACCTGACTCTCACACAGGAGGAAGGGTTCTCTAAAGGGCCTTTTTGAAGTGTTAAATAAAAAGAAAAGGGAAAAACATGGCATGGCAGGGATCCTAAAGGAAATAGCATCTATCTGGGAGGCAAAGAGCTACAGTTTGGGGATGCCAAACCAGGGCAACCCCCAGAGGTAAGTTCAGCAAAGGTTTAGTCTTTTAAAATAGAGACTTTCTATTAAACGTTGTCTTTGGAGACAGTTCATTGGCTGGGCAGGCACCCTAAACTGCAAATGCATTCTGATTGGTTCATTAACTAGGCTACTATCCACTGAGAGGTTGGTGTTCAAGGCCAGCCAGCAGGTCCGGATTTGGCCTCTTATCTGAGTCCCAGAACATTCTGTAGGTCTGAGCTTCAGCAGAGGGATTTAACCTTCCTGGTTTAGACAGCCTTCAATGCTGCATTTTCTCTCCTAGTGGATTAAAGAACTGTGCGGCTGGTTAGGAGCTATTTGGCATAGTGAGCAGAGGATGTTGTAAACAATGGACAGTGTGACCAGGAGAGGGCTTCAGTGTATGCCCAGAGATCTGTGGGACACAGCAGCCCTGCCCAGGCTCTAGGCTGTCAGATTCTAGTGGGACTGTCCAGGCGATCCCCTAACAGGGAGCTGCTTTTGACAAGGATTCCCTTTAGTACAGAGCCTTGTGATCCTGTGAGGTTGCTCCTGAGCCTTGGTGCTGTCCATCTTTCACTCCCCTAAGAGACAGTCTGAGTCTCAGAGTTCACAGACAAGGTTAGGATGTCTGCAAAGCTGTGATGTCCCTGCTGTATGGTTTCTGCAGGTTGACATCTAAGACCCAGGAGACACCACCATATGGTCAAGGCAGCCAGGAAGATGAGGAGGAGTTCTCCCCCAGAACTTAGATATTAGGCATTTATAATTTCATACCTCATATTACTGGATGTGCATATTGGCATGGGCTCTTATTTTCCCAGCAACTCCATTTTACAGCTGTCTGTCTGCTGGCACCTCAGTGGGTAGGAGCAGTCAGTGAGAGTCTGTGCTGACATCTCTGCTTCCCCCCTTTCAGACAGTTTGGGTCAAAAGCTAAAATATCTGCCTTGGATTTCACAGCCTCCGAGTAAAACGCTGTCCAGCATCCTGGGGAAGAGTAACCTCCAGTTCGCTGGGATGAGCATCTCCTTGACCATCTCCACCGCCAGCCTGAATCTGCGCACTCCTGACTCCAAACAGGTGTGAGGCTGTCCAGGCCTGAGGGTGGGCATCCCAGGGGCTTCCTCCTCAACTTACTGAGCCCATGCGGAACCTGCTTGGCCACTTTGACAATCCACCCACAGATGGATGAGTAGTTCTCTGGAGCTCCGCTCCAAATGATGTCCGTTTGGTTGGTGCATTTGTCATATAAAGAAATGGTAATGTCTCTGCAAATATCTTGATGTCTGCCCTTGTTTTATAGCCACACTTTATCAGTTTTATGGGCCACATTTTAATCTTAGCCTGCTTGGGGTGCATAGTGTGCTGTGGTTTTATAGACAGGAGTTTTCTTCCTTATGGCTTCTTATGTTGGAGCCTCCTATAGTCCATCCCATCTCAGGGTTGATGAGCTGTGTGTAGCTATAGTGTAGACTGGGTGGATTGACTCAGTCAGCATAGCCACACCCATAAAGACAAATTCTCGGTAGGATGGCTGTACTTCTGTGTGCTGACTATGTTCTAGGCCAGTCTGTCTGTCTGTCTGTCTGTCTGTCTGTCTGTCTGTCTGTCTATCTATCTATCTATCTATCTATCTATCTATCATCTATCATGTATGTATTTATGCATGTATGTATATATGGATGTATATATATCTATCTATTTACCTATCTACCTACCTATCATGTATATATGCATGCATGTATATATAGATAAATCTATATCTATGTCCTATCTATTATGTATGTATATATGCATGTATGTATATATGGATGTATCTATATCTATCATTTATCTATCTACCTATTATGTATGTATATATGGGTGTATCTATATCTATTATTTATCTATCGTCTATCTATCATGTATGTGTGTATGTATGCGTGTATGTATATATGGATGTATGTATATCTATCTATCATCTATCTGTTATGTATGTATGTATGCATGTATGCATATATGGATGATATCTATCATCTATCTACCTACCTACCTACCAACCATCTATCCCCGAGATGTAGAGACAAATAAGTTAGGTTTAATGTACAAATGAGAAATAGACCAGGGACTTGTTGAGACATAACTGACTACAACTTCTTATTTTACCCTTTTGTCTTCCAGGATCCACTGATACCCCTTGTCTTTTCCTATTATTTTCTAAGGGTTGGACTAACCAGTTCTTGAGGCTGTGGATCTGGGTTGTCTAACCAGCCTAACCTCGCCCAGGCTGCCTTAAGTTGAGCTCCAGTTGCTCATGGAGGCTGGCACATTAGGCTCTAGCTAGCCACGCAAACTGGAACCTGGTCTCTATGCACATGGGCCATTCATCTCTAGGGGCCCCTGAGCTGCAACTCTCCTCCTTCCTTGCTCATTTTCTCCTTACAAAGAAGGTTCAGTGAGGATAATGCTAGCATAGCTGGTCCCGAGTCCCTGCTCTACCTTGGTATGGTCCAGGTTGGGTCTAGTTAGGTGTCCAGTTCTTATCCCCCTGCCATGTATTAGGCTGGTCTATGTGCAGTTTTCCCAGCACCCAGCGGCTGCTGCCTAGGGTGATACAGGACAGTCCACATCATCAGTAGACCATGATTGTGCCTTTCCTGTTTCCCGTGTTTAGGTCCCCACTGTAGCAAATAGAGAAAGCAAAAGCCCTGCCTTCTCCACCCAGGGAGCAGACAAACAGCACACACTCCATGATGCTGAGGTCCAAGTAGAAGGGTAGGACAGAAACCCACAGAGGGAAAACATGCTACACCAGGGTTCTCTGGGACAGGAGGGAGGGCGGGAGGTAGCTAGGTAGGTCGCGCGGTCTCCGCGACAAGCGGGGAGAGAGAGAGGGAGGTGCCAGACTGGCCACTCTGGGCCCTGGACCTTGGCAAAAGGGGCACGGCTTGCGTTGGCCGGGAATCGAACCCGGGTCAACTGCTTGGAAGGCAGCTATGCTCACCACTATACCACCAACGCCCTTACACCAGGGTTCTCAACCTTCCTGCTGCAGCCCTTTAATACAGTTCTTCATGATGTGGTGACCCCAACCATAGAATTGTTTCATTGCTATTTCACAACTGCAATTTTGCTACTGTTATGATTCATAACATAAAACTCACAAATGCTGTATATCTGATATGTGACCCCCATGGGGTCTCGGCCTATAGATTGACAGCTGCTGCGTTGCACTGAGCAGATCCCTGGGCTCAGACCCCCCCTACCCTCTTGGGTACTTGGAGGGGTGAGAGGCAGTCAGGATAGCCATCATATATCTACTTGACCAAGTATGACTTAAGACTTTTTTTTCTAAATTATAGCTTCTAATTTAATTTCCAAACCCAGATTTAGAGTTGGTATGTGTGTGTGTCTGTGCATAAGGTGTATTTTGTGTGTGTGTGTGTGATATGTGATGTAGATGTGTTTGTGGTCTGTGAGGTTTGTGTGTGTATGTAGTATGTGTATGTAAACCAGATGGCAACCTCATCTGAAGATTCTTAGATACTGTCCACCTTGATTTTTGAAACAGGGTCTTTCATTGGTCTGGAGTTAACAGATTTGCCCAGACTGTCTGGCAAGTGGGACCCAGGAATTCTCCTCTCTCTACCTCCCCAGTGCTGGGATTACAGGCCTCCATTCCTAGTTTTGTTTTCTTTTTCTTTTTCTTTTTTTACCCACATGTTCTGGGGAATCAAACTCAGGTTCTCATGCTCGTGTGGCATCCAATTTATCAACTGAGCGAACTCCTTATATAAACAAAAAGTTAAACACACAAAAATTGCAGCATTGGAAACTTATGTTGGGTATAGCAGAGTGCAGCTGTAATCCAAGCAGGAGGGGGGTAAATTGGGAAGATCAGAAGTTCAAGGCCATCCTCAGCAACATGAATCCAGATCAGCCTGGGCTACAAGACACCAAAGTCCCAGTGTTCTGTTGAGGATCCGGTTGCCTTATCATTCATTCAGGAGCTGTTTTCCCACAGGTAGCAGGGTTCTAGGGCAACTATTATTAGTTGGTCGCCTGGGGCTTGGGCACAGGCCACCCAGCAGTCCCTCTGTTTTATATTCTCCTAAACCCTCAGGTTTCTCTAGATTGAGGTTTTGCAAATGTCAACAGCCAAAGTCAGCATTTTAAAATACTTAAAATGTTATCCTATAATTGTATTTTATTCTGAGTTTTCAGGAGCACATGCTCTCTCTGATGCTCTGTGACCCACTGTCTGCTGGGGACAAGGGCTGAGGGACACAGGCAGAGGACATGGTCAGAAATAAACCTGGCTGTGTTGGGATGGAGCTGGGAGCTCCTTTCCACACAGGAACTTTTCTTGAATGTCGTTACATTGTCTTTAAAAGGATAAAAATAGCAGGTAGGACTTACTTAGTTTTTAGAATTTAGGGCAGCTTCTAATTCACTCTGTGTCTACTGAATTCCATGGATGCCACAGCTTACAAACCTGATGGAAATTTTCCATCTTTAAGACAAATGTGGATGGGTCCCTGGTCTTTGGGCCAGTGGATTATGAGAGGATTGTAATTCTTAGATGCTGGCTTTCTGATTTACATACACCTGATATGAGTGGAATGGAGTGAGACAGGCCACACTCCCCCAGCTTGGCTCTGCTGTTTGGGGAAGCAGAAACTACAAGTTCTAATGTATTTATTTTATTTCTTTCTTTGTGTGTGTATGTGTATGTGTGTATAGCTTGTTTGTGTAGGGAATGTACACATATGTGTCTTGGTCTATATGCACATATGTGTGGATGCCATAGGTCAACCTCAGCATTATCTGCTGGTTGATTTAGGTCTCTCATTGGTCACAAACCTGTGGTGAGTCAGCTAGGTCTAGCTAGCCCCAGGGATCCATCCATCTTTTCCTTCCCAGTACTGGGATCGTAGACACCACACCCAGTTCCTTGTCACATGGGTTTGGGGGATTGAAGTTGGGTCTCCCTGATTGTAGGTGCCCACCCTTTCCTTCCTGGAGAAGTCCAGATGTTGTGACACTGGGCTCAGGTTGGAGCCTCGATTTCACAGATCTGGAATCACTACACTTCCTTCTTTGAACAAGCCTCTTGGCCCCTCTGGGCTCCTGCTCTGTGCCTGTAAAATGGGCTTCCCACTGGAGGCTTAATGAGGCTTTCAAAGGGGGAACCAGAGAGATGGTAGCCATCAGGCTGTACACAGTGAAGGCAGGTGACATTTTCATTGACTGGGGACAGTTTTCAGGAAATCTTGTCATTTGTGTAGCCTGCCAGCAAGGCGGGCTCTGCAGCATATGGGGAAGCGCTAATGGTTCATCTCATTTCTTGTCTCCGCCCTGGCAGATCATAGCGAACCATCACATGCAGTCCATCTCCTTTGCCTCAGGGGGCGACCCGGTGAGTGGTCTTGGCTTGTTTCTCTTGTTCTTGCTGGGAACTTGTGAGAAGAAACCCCTGCTTTAAAAATGTGCCCTTGGAGACATGATACAAAAGTGTTTTATGCTGATTTTAGAAGAACCCCAATCACCATTCCGATTAACAGTCCAGTTGTTTTAGGGTCAGGACGGTTGCATTCTGGTGAGAATTCTATTCTGATAAAGCCTATGTGCTCAAAGCATTGTAATGTCCCAGATAAACAAGTTTTATACACTATGGGGGGGGGTTCTCTGAAGTAAATAATGTTTTGTAAGACAAAATATTCATCAATAAAATTTTGCAAGTAAAAGTAATCATAATCCTGAAGCTGTGATCCCAACTGTGTACCCCTCCCCATGCCGTCCCTCCCTCCCTCCCTCCCTCCCTCCCTCCCTTCCTCCCTCTCTTCCTCCTCTTTCATTCTCTCTATTAGAAACTGAGCCAAGGGCCAAGGGTCACCAATCACTCTATTATGATATCTCTTCACATTCCTCTTGATTATCACTTACGTTGCTGTTTAGTGGGGGAAGAGGTAGCCTGTGACCAGGCTCTACCACCATTAATTAAGCATCAAGAGTTCTGGAAGCCTCCACGTGAGGTATCCATCGCTCCCATGTCTGACCCATCTTGCCTTGCTTGCTCTCTCTGTTTGTTTTCCTACCACACCTTCAAAAAACACCTAAAAAAACAGGCGGCTGTTACTCAAGGGAGCAGGACACACAGGGGGGAGGGAGGAGATGAACCTGACCCCTCCCAGCAGTGGTAGGGAGAAAGGTCCCTTCCACGCGTGATCGTGACAATTTTCATTGTTCTGGGTAAAGTTTTCAGTGGCTAAGGACAAAAAACTAAAAGTGGGGTAATAGGATGAGGAATATGTTTTAACCCAATTTCATTCAAATGACAAAAAACAATTCTATAACTTAAGGCATCCTGTTCACTCATTTTGGTGAAAAGGTTTGGGTCACGCACGCAGGGATATTGTTTCCAAAAGCCTCCCAAGCATGCTTTTCCTTTTATCCCATCCCTCCCTGGCCATGCCTTTCTTGCGGTCCTAGTGTTGGTTATTTTACACCTCATTGAAACATAAACTAACCAAGATGTAGATTTAGAAGGTGAAAATCTACCTGCCTGTTCACCCGTGGGACATTTCTCAAGATCATGTCTATATTTGACAGAATTTTTTGTCATCACTGGGAGACAAACATGAGAAAATCAATTTAAGTGAGGGAAAGGATTATTGTGGCTCACAACTGCCAGCCTGAGGTGCCTGGGTCTGTTGTTTTGCCCTTGAGGCCAGGCAGGGGAGAGTATCCCAGAGACGCACTTGTGGGGGAAATGGCTGTTCACTTCGGAATGGCCAGGAAGCAGAAGCAAAATGGGATGAAGACAAAGCATACCCTTTGAAGGCCTGTTCCCAGTTCAGCTGGGCTGAACCCCCTAATTCCACCACCTTCCAATGACATCATCCCTCCAGGTTCATGTCTGCCGCTATGAAAAATGCCCTGACAAAATCAGCCAAAGGGGGAAAGGGCTTATTTTAGCTCACAATTTCAAGGGAGTCACAGCGGAAGGTGCTTGAGACAGCTGGCCACATACTTCTACAGCCAAGAGCCGAGACAGCTGAGTACGGAGTGACTCCTAAATAAGTACTCTCTATTCCTACAGCTCCAAAACCTGGGAATGATACCACCAAAGAAATGCTGTTTGCACTCTTGGAAAGTCAGGCTGAAAGAGCTGGTTCTTCCTGATCCAGTTAATAATCAAAGCAACCCACTACAGACATCCCCAGAGGCCAACCTGATCTAGATGGAGTCTTAATCGGGGCTCCTTACTCAGGTGGTTCTGGGTTGTGTCAAGTTTGACAGTTAAAATGAAGCACCACTATCAGTTCCCCTGGGAATCAATCCATGGTTGAGATGATCAGTCAGCTACCGATGTGCATGTAACTCATGCCCTACTTGTCCCCCACACACACCCAGACTAAGACCTGAACCTGCATCCCTTCGTCTCTAGTGCAAAGTGGTTTGCAGTAGTTGATGGTGGCAGTGCAGTGGTATAGCCACCCTGTCCTAAATGTTGGTGGCCACCCAGTTCTCATTGGCATAAATGGTACCCCTTTCTAGAAATGCTCTGAAATCTGAGCATAGGTACAACAGTGAGACCCTGGAAAACCGAACACATTGTCTTCTGTTTAAAATGTTTCGTTTTTTTCCAGGGTATGCTTAAGACTGTAAACCTTTTCAAATTTTTCATTATTTCTTCTGGAAAAAGAACAAACAACTACGATGTACACCTTTAATCTCAGCATTCAGGATGCAGAAAAACTCTGAGAGTTTTTAGGCCAGTGGCTAGCTTGGTGTACACAGTGAAACCTGTCTTAAAAAAAAAAGAACAACAACAACAACAACAACAAAAAAAAAAGACAACATTTGGTGACATTTGATGTGATCTATACTATTCTACATTTTCTGTATTTTTTTTCCTCGTACAGAAACTGTCATGATCCAGGTGTAATGAGACACATAGGAGTTGAGGCAGGGGTATTGTGAGGTTCAGACCAGCCTGGGCTACAGAGTGAGAGCTTGTCTCAAAAGACAAAGCGGCACGCTATTGTCTCACCAAGTGTACACTCTTGCTCTGTGTCTCATCAGGCCACCCAGTTGGAAACACAAAAATGACAAACACTGTTAGTCTGTCTTTCCTAAAAAGAAAATATAGTGATGATAATGTACCCCGACTTCTGGTGTCGAGAAATTTCTGAAAGTAAAGTGCTTTTCATACAAGTATGAAGGCCCGGAGTTCAGACTCTAGAACCCATGTGAGAAGATGCACACTTGTAACCCTGGCACTGGTGAGGCAGACAGGAAGGTCCTGGCCAGCTTCACTGGTGAGCTCCAGATGTCAGCGAGAGACCCTTCTCAAAATAACGGCCTGAAGAATGACACCAGAGGTTGCCCCCCCTTTCCCTGACACCTGAGGAGGATGCCCCCTCCCCACACACATACAAAGATCTCCGAGAGGATGCCAGAACAATGACCTGTCCCAGAGGGTCTTGATGACTGACAACAGGTGGAATAACTACAGAATAAGATCCCCACAGCCTCTCTGGAGCTTAGTGTGTCCACTGGGCACTGCGAAGAATGCTGTTCTGAATCTTGGTCCACTGGGAATGGATACCAGGTGAAGATGAAGATTGACAACAGAATGGTTATTTCCTAGCTTGGCCATGGACCATCTGAGAAATGGGTATCATATCCTCTTGTGCCTTCCTTCCCCAGTCACTACATAGTTTCTTAGACTAGAGAAAGAACCGCTCCCCTAAAATAAATAAATAAATAAATAAATAAATAAATAAATAAATAGGATTTCCTTGTATGAACCACTAGCTCTGACTAGGGCTAATTTTTCTCTCTAGCTACATACAAAAATCAAACAGTAGAGTCCTTATGTTTGTACAGCCTCCCTGAACTCTAAACCCCCATCAAATTTGGAAGTTACAAAAGAAGGCTATAAAACTCATTACATGCAGTTGTGTTAATATGCCACAGAGATAGTTTGTTGAAACTAAATGCTACCCTCCCCACCACCCCACCACCACCACCACCGTGCATCTCTGGGAGCTGGTTGCCAGGGTGGCTAGTGTCTTTTTGGTACAGTAGCTCTTCTACTACAGTGCCCAGGTTCAAGCACAACCTTCAGCATGCCTCCTTAGACACAAGAGTGACAGACAGCAGTTGGGTCAATCGGGGCAAAGGCTTCATCCACTCTGCTTCTTGAAAAAACCCAGCTCCTATAATGTGGGAAGGCTGGCTGTGACCTCAGTCTTGACTCTGTAGCTGTACCCAGAACAAATTCAAGGTCACGGTTGCTCCAAAGCTCCAGGGCTCCAGGCTGCTGGCTAAGATGTTCCTGAAGCTTCTTAAAGACAGTTGTGACTTTCATATCCCATAATTCTGGGAGGTAAGTGAAGAAATGTAAGCTCCAATCCATGTTTTTGTCAACGGCTTCAAATCTCAGATGCCCCTCCATGGGAGTGCACAGAGGCCATTTTATAGTCCCCCTGTCCTTCCTCTCGCCCGTCTGTGAAATATTAAAGACCAGGAAATGTACTCCTTTCAGATGAACCTCAGAGATGGGTTCTTTTGTCCCCACCACTGGACACGGCCCCATGCCTTTGTTCTCTGGAAATCTCAGAGGGCACCATGCCCACCCATCCCTCCCCTCAGCCCTTTCCACTCTTCCCATTGTACTTTCTGGATCTCTCTTAAGAGGGGAAGACACTTCCTCATGGATGGAACAGCACAGGTCAGCATGGACCACTGCCGCTCAGACAGAAAGCACAGTAGATGGGCTCGAAGCCCCTTGGAACGTAAGTTGTGAAAAATAACTACAAAAACAGGCTATCCTTTCAAGCTGCCATCTGAGGAATGGTGCTTGTGAGCTCATTAGCTTTAACCATCGACTTGTCACCACCCAGAATCACTTGGGAAGAGAGAGCCTAAACTGACAGATTGGCCTGTGGGGTAGGAAGAGGCAGACCACTGTGGGTAGCACATTCCTTAGGCAGGGTTCCCGAACAGTGCAAGAGAGGAGACATCAAGCTGAGCAGAAGCAAGCAAGCAAGCAAGCAAGCAAGCAAGCAAGCAAGCAAGCAAGCAAGCAAGCAAGGAACCTTGCATTTATTCCCTCTCTCCCTGCTCTTCACTGTGGATGTAAAGCTGTATGGTTTTGCCCAGCACACACACACAGTTAAAATACTAAAGACAATGATGCTTTAAAAAGGATTAAAAAAATGATCAGGTCCCTGGCTACTCGTTCAGAACTGAGTAGATGCAGATTGCCTTGGTAGACCACCAAGGCCTCAGAAGGCTGGTGAGGGGACTCATTTCACACCACGGGGTGAGGCCTCTAAATAAAGCCTGTGTTTAAAAAAAGAAAACATTTACAATGTTTTAAATTAGCCGAGCACCATTGTTTAACATAATGAGCTTGTTGTGGCCGTTTCCTGTATGTATACGACACACTTGGATCGCAGTCACGCACCTTACTGTCCTCCTGCTCTTCCTCTTCCCTTCTACTTTTGTGTGTTTCATTTTCTTGGCGTTGACCTCTGAGTCTTCCGCTTCATAGAGTGACTCCCAGTGCCATCCGTTTTCCTGGGAAGGAGATTTCATTCTTCGTGGCTGTATAAAACTTCACTGTGTAGCTCCCACCACACTTTCTCTAAACCCTCACCCGTAATTCAAGATCCAGAATTAACAACTAGGCTGACTCTGTCTGTATCTTGCCCATTGGGAGTGTCCAGTCTTTAAACACCCACCTTAGTATTTTCCCAAAAACAAGTCCTCCAGCAGCTGAAACTTGTCAGTAGTCCAGTTTGGGGGTCCAGATGGGAAATTGGGGTACAGGCCAACTCTCAGTCCTTAGCTTTTAGGGGATTTTCACAGGAACTCAATCTGAGGACAGCTCACATACATATCACTGACAGCCCAGCTTCTTGACTTTGGCTCACACTAGTGTCGACAAGCTTTAGAAAGGTCCCCGAGTTCAGATCTCAATTCCAAACCAGCTAAGTCAGATGAACCAACGCTACTCAAGAACTAGTTCTAAGTCTCCTAAAAGAACCACCATGGGGAGACCAGATGCCTGTCAACCCTGGCAGGCCCATTTTGTACCCAGCATCTGGCCCTTCATCCTTTTTTCCTCTCTCCTTCTCTTCCTTCCGTCTTCCCCCAGTGCTGAGGGGCTCAGGGTCCTCCCACACTAGAAAAGCACTGGTCCATTTACTTTCCTTCCAACCCTGCTTCTCTACTGTGTGATGGATGAATGGATACTTATCACACTGGGCTCTGCATCCCCCTGGTCCTCCCTCTTGCTGTGATGAGCGATACAAATGTCTCCTTTTCCTTCCACAGGATACAACAGACTATGTCGCCTATGTCGCTAAGGACCCTGTTAATCGCAGAGGTAAGCAATGCTCGACCCATTTAATCACTCGATTGTGTGAAGCCAGGCTTGATGTGTGAACCAGATGTTCCTCATTATCCTGGCTCTAGCAAATGAGCACATGTCACGTGACACGATTAAGGTTAATTGAGGCTTGCAAGCGCAGCTTGTCACCTGTCTGGGAGAGAGCCTACTTACTGGTTGCTGAGTGCCAAACTCACACCTGTGTCAGGATGGCTGTGGGTTTGGGTACCTGGTCACATACCACTCTCTCAATCCCATGCTCTGATAGTGGCCTCAAGTGTGCCTGGGAAACTCTACGCCTTCTCATCCTCCTGACCAGCGTCAGCCAGTGTGTATGCATTTCCCGTCTCCTGCTTCTGGAACACTGACAGAGACTGAGGAGGGGATGTCATTTACAAAATCAGAGCGGAAAATAATACACTCAGGGAGGTGGGCTCAGGGTGACTACCTTTGGACACTATACTCCTCATGACCATGTCACAACTACAGGTGAAAAGTCATTGACAAAATCATGTCAAAACTACACGTGAAAAGTCATTGACAAAAACCAGTGGGATTTGTCACTGTGCGGACTGGCACTTTCCTGCATTGCAGACTGGTTCCTCCCTTCCTCTTGGCCTTTGTTCTGTGTGCCAGCAGCTGGCTTGTTTTCACTTTGCTTGCATACTCACAGACATGTTTTCTCTCTTGTAAAACAGACCAAAAAACAAAACAAAACAAAAAAACAAAAAACAAAAAACAAAACAAAACAAAACAAAACCCAATACACCTAACTCTTTGTTTTGCCATCCTCCTCCCAAACCTGTATTTTGGATATACATTCAGGACAACCAACAAGGGCAGATTAGTTTGGAATGGGGTGCAGGGCTTCCACAAACCCTTCTTCATTGCAGACTTTCTCGAGCAGACACCATATATGACACTTAATACTAATTGTCAGCTTGACAACACCTAGAGCCACCTACTAGGTAAACCTCTACACTGTCTGTAAGGGAGTCCCTGGGCTGGATTAATGGAAGGCCCATGCTTACTGAGGGTGGCACCATTCCTGGGCTGGATCCCTCAAGTAAATGAAAAGGAAGCGAGCTGAGCATCACCATTTACCTGTCTGCATAGCTATGCAACGTGACCAGCTGCCTCGGGCTCCCAGGCTGACTGCCCTGTGCTGATGGGCTGTAACCACAACCCCCGAGCCAAAATGAGCCCTGTCTTCCTCTAGCTTCTTTTTTCAGGTGTTTTATCTTAGCAGCCGGACAGTAACTGTGTGGCTGGCAAGTGACATGTCCTAGAGGCTCTTGCAGAGCGAGTGGGATAGACAGGTTATATATTAATGCCCTTGCAAACTGTTTCCAACTTGGCTGCAAACATTGTCATTGTCATGGTAAGTATGTGGGGTTCTCCCCTCCTGGGCCCCCAGCCAGTTCTGAAACCCTATCAGGGATGTTACCAAGTTGAAGACACAAGATAATGTGGCAACTTTGGGAAAGCCTGGCTTGTTCTTCCCATTCTTCCCCTCGAAAATGGAAGTTTCCTTACAAGTCTTCATTTAGGGTGTCAGGGAGAGAATCGTGTGGGTTTCTGTGGATAACACAGCACAGGTTCTTAGTTTAGAAACACCACCATGTCTCTCCTGAACAGAGCTGAGACAGACAGGTGTGTGTGTGTGTGTGTGTGTGTGTGTGTGTGTGTGTGTGTGTGTGCGTGCGCGCGCGCGCGCACATGGTGGATGTGCATTTAAAGACCAGAGGACTACACTGGGTGTAATTAATTCCTCAGGTACTGCTACCTTACTTTTTGAGGCAGTCTCACTGGCCTGGAATTCTCTGAGTAGGCTAGGCTAGCTGACTAATGAGTCTAGGAGTCAGCCTCCCCCGCACTGGGCTAGCTTTCCCAGGGCTGAGAGCACAATCTTGTCCTGTGATGCCTGTTTTTTGTTTGTTTGTTTGATTTGGTTTTTTGAGACAGGGTTTCTCTGTGTAGCTTTGTAGACCAGGCTGACCTCAAACTCACGAAGGTCTGCGGAGCTCTTGCCTTCCAAGTGCTGGGACTAAAGGCGTGCACCACGATTGTCCTGCTTGTTTGTTTTGTTTTTAAACCTGGGGAATTAAACTCGAGTCCTTGTACTCCTAAGGCAAGCACTTTATCAACTGAACAGTCACTCTGGCCTTTCTTTAAAGGGTTAAACAGGTCCGAGGAGAGAAGGGATGGGGCTGTGAGGGCTCTGAGATGCTTCAGTGGCATTCATGCTCACCTGTCTTCTCAGGTGACTGTGTCTGGCCAGTGTTGGCCCCGATGAGCAGGGTTGTACCTGTGGCAGTCAGGTCTGCTGCCCAGACCACTTCAGCCAAAGCTTTTGTTGCAGGCTTAGAGGCTGGTCTTAATGTCTAAAGTAGCAAACACAGATTAAGTTGTTTAAAGCAACAAGGGCATGTTGCCTCCCAGTTCTGGAGGCTGGATGCCCAGTTCATGGTGTCAGCAAGGCCATATGGGCTCCCTCTGGGTCCTGGAGGAGAAATCCCTCCTTCCTCCTTCTGGCGTCAGTAGTTCAGGCAGTCTTCAATGTCTCTTGGCTTGTAGGTACGCCACTGAAACTCATCCTGATGGTGGTGTACTCCCTTTGTGAATGTTTCTGGATGCTTGTAGAGATGACAGTGCATGGAGGCTCAGGGCCCCTCCCATCCTGCTGTTACCCTCTTTTAACTAGTTACATCTGAAATTTCCCATTTTCCAAAGAAGGACACCCTCTGGGGTCCTGAGGTTAGGATGTTTGGCATAACATTTTTTTTAAACAGGGGGCATAATTGAACCCATGGCAGAAACCAGCCCCTTCAACTATCCTAGCTTCCCCCAAATCAGGGAGGGTGTTGGGGAGGAGAGGCATAGGCTATCCTTACCAGGCACTGGCTCCCCAAACTCTTATCTGGGTTAGAAGCAGCTGGGGTTTATTCTCTGTTTTGGTTTGTTTCAAATTAACAGCAAGCAATCTAGGCAACTTTGTCTTTCAGACTTCTTTAGTAGGTCCAGGTCAAAGGTCCTCAAAATGAGAGTTACTTAGGAGCCTTATAAAAAAGAAATCTCAACACTCAGGTTTGGGAGAATGGGATCCAGGCAACAATGTATTTAAATAGCTCTTTGGGGCCTGGGGAAACAGCTTAGTTGGTAATGAGCTTGCAGTGAGGCATAAGAGGCTGAGATAATTTCCCAGAGCCCACCTGAAAAGTCAGGTGTGGTGGCAACATCTGTGCTCCCAGCACTGATCGGTGGAAACAGGAGGGTCCCAGGGGTTTGCTGGCCAGCCTGCCAAGCCTAGTTGGTAAGTTTCAGGCCAGTGAGAGACCCTCTGTCATAATACTAAGTGAATGTCCACTGAGGAATGGCACCTGAGGTTGTCCTTTAGCTTCTATGCACCCATGTGACAACATGCATCCACTGCATATGCACACACATATGTACTTTGTGTGACTGTGATGCTCTGATGTCTATAAAGCAATACTGAGCACTAAGCTGTCACCCATGTCTCCAAGGTGTCTGGTCTCCAGGCACTTTCCTTTGGATCAAACAAGGGCCCAGCTTCTGTGGTGTTTCACAGTCCAGCCACCTTGTGCCCATCCTCACCTTTCAAAGTCGAGGTGCCAGGCTTTTCTGCACCCTCACCAAGGCTCCCTCTGAGGTTGACATGCAGTGCTGTTAGGAAAATTGAGGCAGTGTGGCCTTGCAAAATAATGGTGTGCGCTTTTCTAATGGTACTTCATATTTGCCTCTCAGTTATCAAGGGCCCATGGCTTTTGTAATTAATCTAGTGGAAGGACAAGAGGCCTGACTCCCTGGTCATTAAGTCATGTGGGAACTACCACCAGCCATCTCAAGGAGCTCAGGATAGCACATGAGTGAAGTTTCAGGAGGCTGGTGACCAATGGGAGAGCTGCACAATGATTGGTTCTGTAGAGATGGGACTCCCAATGTGTCAGCTTTGTTGGATTCTAATACATCATTTTCTTCAATGTGTGTGTAGACTACAAGTGGTCTTTGGGTGTCTTTCTTTATCATCTGTTCTCAATCTAATCTTTGAGACAGGGTCTCTCCCAGACCCATGAGCTCATTTATTTGACTAAGGTAGCTAGCCACCAAGCATAGACCCACTCTGCTCTCTCCTCTCCAGCAATGGATTCACATATATGCACAATGGCACACCACTTTTAATGAGATCCTGGGGATCCTAGCTCCGGTCCTCAGGCTCTCTTGGCAAGCACTTGGCCAGCTGAGTGGTCTTCCTAATCTCTGATTAATTTTTAATTGACACATAACTGTACTTATCCATGAGGTACAGCGTGAGGTTATAGCAATACTGTGTGTGATGATCAAATCAGAGTATTTCACCTTCTAACCTCAAACTTCTGCCGCTTGACTCCCACTGGGGACTGTAACCTGGAGCTGTTAGCCAAGCGACCCCTTTTTCCTCTAAGTTGCTTTTGTTGGGCGCTTTACCATAGCAACCGGAAGGAAGCAGACACACTCTCTACCATATTTTAAAGCAGGCTCTCTCACTGAACCTGGACCTTGCTGAGCAGACTACCTGATTGACCAGTAATCTCCAGGAATCCTCCTAATTCTTTCTTCCAAGTACTGGATTGAAGGCCTGTGCTAGCGGGCCTGGCTTTTTATGTGGGCCCTGGGGACTGAACTCAGGTCCTCAGGTTTGCGTGGCAAGTGCTCCATGGACTCAGTGACATCCTCAGTCCCTACACTGTGCTGTTTGGTGTTTCTGGTCAGATTTGGTTTTGTCAGCCCTTCACTCTTACTAAGTCAAGGACAACTTCCTCTAAGTCCATTGAACAGGTCAAGATCCACCAGTTCAAGCCTATCACTGAGGTTCCTGGGTCTTAAGGAAGCTCTGTGAAAGATGCAATTGGAGTTGAATTTTCTTTCTGAACACTGCTTTCCTGTGAAGGCCAGAGCCACTGGTTTATAGATTCTGTGAGTACAGAGCCACCAAGGGGCTGGAGAGGTGACTCAGTGGTTAATAGTACTTGCTGCTCTGACAGAGGACCCAGGTTGGGTTTCTGGCACACACAGGATGTCTCATAGCCACCTGTAACTCCATTTCTAGGGGATTCTTCTGCTCTCCTCAAGCATTGCATGCATGAGATGCTTGGACAAACATAAAGGCAAAACACACACATAAAAGGGAGGTAAATACATTCTAAATATTGAAAACAAGACCTTCACTTTTGCAGACAAACCCTCTAAGAATTTCACGTGTCCATCGCCACTAAGGGATGCCCACAGAGACAAGGCTGTGGGTTGGTAGACACATACCAGGAGGGAGGTGCAGGGCTCTTTTCCTCTGCACCTCAGATGGGCCCCTTTATCAAGGGGTTCAGAGAGCACTGACCCTGTCTCTAAGAAGACTTATCCCCTTCTCTTCAAGCTTGCCACATTCTCGAGTGCTGTGATGGGCTAGCCCAAGATGTCATTGGCTCCATCGGACAAGCCTTTGAACTCCGGTTCAAACAGTATCTGCAGTGTCCCTCCAAGATCCCCGCTCTCCAGGACCGGTGAGTAGCTGTGCCTGCCTTTGTCAGTGGCACCTCCCACGCTGCACTCCAGGCAGACCCAGATCATCACGAGTTTCCAGAACTCACAGACACCTGCCTGGTGCTCAGCAGAGGCACAGAAAACTGACAGATGGAATTTCACATATGGCTCTGAATGGGCAGGAAACATTTTTTTTTTTTTTTTTTAAAAAGCTATAGTGACAATAGACAAGCTTACCAAAAACAACTCCATTGTAATATTTTTTGTCATGTTGTGTCTTCTCTAGCCCTTTGATTCTTCCATAGGCCACCTCTCTAGGTCTGTGTCCACATACGATCTATGCCTTTACTTTTTGTTGTCACAGTTAGCCAAAGCCACCTGCTGCCAGCGTCATTTTTGCTTTATTGGCCTCCATGGACGAATAACTCCAGGCTTGTTCATCTGCCAAATGGCTCTGGGCAAGATCCTTACACTGTCTGAGTCACCATGGGTTCATCTGGAAAACAGGGATAAGGATCGCTTGATAGTTGTTTTACTATTCAATGGAGAAGCAATTGTTAACACTAAATGTGGGCTACTTAGGTGACAAACACACACACACACACACAGAGGTAGAGAGAGAGAGAGAGAGTCTGCTTTTGAGTTTTCTTGGGATGCAAGATATAGGAAATTGCCAAGTATTTTGGGGCATATGGGGCATTCAATGGTCTTCTGTCCTTGAGTATATTCTGCCCTTGCATGATGAAAAGATATTACAGGGAGTTGGCTCAGCCAGTAATGCACTTGCCTTGTGGGCATAAGACTTGAGCTTTATCTCCAGAGCCTATGTTTCAAAACAAAAAGCAGCCGGTACAGTGGTGTGTACTTGTAATCCCAGTGCTGGGGAGGTGGGGACAGGTTGTCTCTGGGGATCACTGTCCAGCCAGCCAAGTCTTCTTGGTGAGTCCCAAGCCAGTGAGAGACCCTTTCTCAAAAACAACGTAAATAGCCCTGAGGTTAACCCCTGGCCTACACATAAGCAAATGTATGTACACCTATGTACATGTGCTCACATATACATGTATACACACACAAAAAAGTCTTTTAATGGTGTGTTCACTGCAAACAAGCATTGCTTCCCTTAGGTTTACTTCTTACTCCCTTCAAACTCACAAGGGCACCTTCTGTGGCATCATCATGGAGCTGGCATCTGCTCTGTTCCCTCCCCATCCCTTGACAAATTTCCTTTAAGACATCCATTGTGCCTGCAAGGACCCATTTTATCCAGGGGGATGAGCTGGGCAGGATGGGGCAGGAGGAAGTGTGAAGGAAGTGGCCACAGCTCTGACACCTCTGACCAGAGAATGCATCACCGCAGCTCTTTATTTTTAATGTGACTGGTGATACTGGTTACAGACTCCACACAGGGCTCATGCATCACAGCTTGTATTCTCAGAACTTATAAGGGTGTGGGAAGACTGAGTTACAAAGGGGTATGGATCATTTGATCATTTGGGTTTTGAAAAACTCACTGCCCTGGTTAGCTTTACTAGTCAACTGACACAGCCTAGATTTCCCTGGAAAAAGGGAATCTCAGTTGAGGGATTGCCTGGGTCAGATTGCCTTTGGATCCGTCTGTAGGGGACTGTCTAGATTGTTAATTGATGCAGTGGGGCCCAGCCCTGGGCAGCACCATTCTTTGGGTAGGTGGTTCTGGACCGTATAAGAAATCTAGCTAAGCTTGGGCAGTGAACAAGCCAGTAAGCAGCGTTCCACCTAGGTTTCTGCTCAGTTTTCTCTTTGACTTCCCTCAATGATGGACAGTAAACTTGTTAAATGGAATAAACCTGTTGTGAGCATTTGAATTTGGCTCTTATGAACAAATCTACTATGAAGTTATAGTCAAGCTTTGAGGTAGACATGTTTCTTGTGTATATGCCTTAAAAAGGAACTATTGAGTTCATGCTCCTACTGTTTACAAACCATTTGGGAAACTGTCTAAGCTGCCTTTTACTTTTTTTTTTTTTTTTTTTTTGTGATAAGGTAAGGTATTAGTCAGGGTTCTCTATAGGAACAGACTCTCTCTCTCTCTCTCTCTCTCTCTCTCTCTCTCTTTCTCTGTGTGTGTGTGTTATGAGATTTATTAGAATGATTGACAGGCTGTGTGTGGTCCTGCTGGTCCTGCTAGTCCAATAATGACTGTCTATCAACAGAAGGTCCAAGAATCCAGTAACTGTTCAGTCTACAAGGCTGGATGTCCCAGATGGCCTTCAGTAAATGCCAGAATCCCAAAGAAGTAGGTTCTAATGCCAGTTAAGGAATGAACTCGATAGTGAGAGTGAAGCAAGCAGGCAAAGACAGCAAGCTCCCTCCTTCCACGTCCTTATACAGGCTGCCATCAGAAGGCGTGGCCACATTAAAGGTGGATCTTCCCACTTCAAAAATCTGGATTGGAGGTGGATTTTCCTACTTCAAATGGTTTGATTAAGGGGGGAAAGATCCATCACATGTGTGCCCAGTCATTTGGATTTTAGTTAATTTCAGATGTAGTCCAGTGACAACCAATAAGAGCCATCACATATACTCTGAAAAAGTCCACATGAGGTAAGAGGGGTCTACTTTTGCTCACAGTTTGGAAGTACAGTCCATGTCGAGGAGGTCAAGGCTGCAGGAATGTGAGGCAGGTAGTCTCATTGCATCCATAGTTAGGAAGCAAAGGGCAGTGGATGCTGGTGCTCAGATAGCTTCTTCTTTGTTGGGAAGTCCAGAGAACCAGGGAATGCTGCCACAAATTATTAGGATGGATTTTCTACCTCTGTTAACCAAGCATGATAATCCCTCATAGGCTTGGCTAGAGGCTAATCTAATCTAGACAATCCCTCACAGGCATGGCTAGAGGCTAATCTAATCTAGATAATCCCTCAAAGGTGTGTGCCAGAGCCTTGTTTCTTTGGTGAGTCTAGATCTTGTAAAATTGATAATTAACATCAGCTATAATAGTCAAATGATTTTTCAGAGCAGTAGCACCAATTTACATTTCCATAAACATTGTAGGGGCTTCCCACTCCTCCAGGACTCATCAACATTTGTTGTTGTCCACATCTTTGATTATGGCTGCCCTAGTGAGCAGGAAAATATTTGATGATGGTTTTGACTTGTGTTTTTCTGATTATGATATCAGGTTTGTCTATCTTCTTGGGGGAAATGTCTGCTCAAATCTTTATTTTGTAAATATTGGGTTGTTTTCTTTTAAGTTGCTGAGTTATAGATGCTGTAGATACATGTTACCATAAAGAAATATTATTAGCAAATATTTTCCTATTTTGTGGATTGTTTTTTTCAACATGTTTTGTAACTTTCAGTGTATGTCTAACCTTGATTACTTAATTTTCCCCTTAAAATTTTCCCTTTTTGATGCTCCAATGATTTCTTATTTTATTTTTGTTTTTTATCATCATTAATGTATAAAATACAAATGAATTCATGTAGTGTTTTTTTTGTATCCATGAGCCCATTCTTTAGACACACTTTAGATTCCTAGTTGCAATCTTTTTGACCTGCTTACTTAGGAATGTGTTAATTTTAACATCATACTAATCTTGTAAGAGTCTACTTTGATTTCTACATTGATTCCATTATTATCTGAAAAAAATACCCTTCAAACGTCAATTCCTTAAAAAATTTTAAGCTCATTATTAAATAAGATTAGCATTATATTCTTTCCCTCTGCATGGGAGAAGACATTTTGATGCTGTTATTTTTTAGGTAGAATGTGCGATTTATGTCTCTTAGGTTTGGTTAGATTTTTTGTGTGCAAACTTCTGTCCAGCCATTCTACATAAGAATAAAGTGGCATATTAGTGTTTCTCCATATTATTGTTGAACTTTCTGTTTCTACCTTTTTTTCTCTAAAACATGTTGCTCATAGAAAACTTATTATTGGGTCATTTTCTTATTTGTTCTGTCAACCTCTGCCTTTTAAGAAGAGCATTTAATACATTTATATTTAATGCAGTTGCTGGTAAATTAGATTTCCTCCTGGTGTTGAGCTATTTTTTTTCTTTAAATCATTTTATCCTCTTAAAAACCAGTTACTTTCTCCTTTGTGTAAAGTAAATAAACATTTTTCAAGTGTACAATTTAACGTCTTCCTCTCTCACTACTTTTAAAGTGGTGATCAGAGGATTTTAATTAATATATTAATTTATAATTATATATTCAGATTAAATAACTTATTAATATATAGAAGATTGGCTTCTGTATAGCTCTATTCTTTCACTCTCCATTATACTATTTTTTACTTTAAATTTTTTATTCATTTTACATATCAACCATAGTTCCTTCTCCCTCCCCTCCTCCGTTTCTCCTCCAGCCCACCACATCCACTCCTTAGGTAAGGCTTCCCATGGGAAGTCAACAAAGCCTGGCACATCAAGTTGAGGCAGGACCAACACTTCCCTGCTGCATGAAGGTTGAGCAAGGCCCATAGGGAATGGGCTCCCAAAAGCCAGCTCACGCACCAGGGACAGATCCTGGTCCCACTGCCAGGGGCCCCACAAATAGACCAAGCCACATAACTGTCACCCACGTGCAGAGGGCCTAGTTCGGTCCCATGCAGGATCCCCAGCTGTTGGTCCAGAGTCTGTAAGCTCCTAAGAGCTTGGGTCAGCTATGGGTTTCCCCATCATGATCTTCATCACCCCCCACTTGATCACCCCCCATATAATCCTTCCTCCCTCTCTTCAACTGAACTCCTGCAGCTCAGCCCAGTGCTTAGCTGTGGATCTCTGCATCTGCTTCCATCGGTTACTGGATGAAGACTCTATGATGATAGTTGGGGTAGTCACCAATCTGATTTCAGGAGAATGCCAGGTCATGCACCCTCTCCACTATTGCTAGGAGTCTTAGCTGGGGTCATCCTTGTGGATTCCTGGGAATTTTCCTAGCACCAGGTTTCTCCCTAGCCCCATAATTGCTCCCTCTATCAAGATATGTCTTTTATTGCTCTCCCACTCTGTCACTCCCAAAACAGTCCAGATCC